AGGGGTCCCCTCCTCACCTCTCACCCGTGCGCCCGCCGAGTCGAGGATAGGCAAACCCACAACACGGCGGCGCGTGCTCTGAATCACCCGGTACATGTGACATATATGCCACAAGCGCGTGAGGAAAAAGGAAAAAGGAGAAAAACAAATAAAATATATTTTGGTTTTGTTTTAGGCTTGTGTTGATATTTTTTCTGAACTCTTTGACCAAACACGGTTTTTAAGCTAATTAACCTAATGACACGCTGTTGGGTTTCGAACGAGGTTTCGAACGCAGAGCCTTTGTGTTACGAACCTGGAGCCTAGAGAATTCAGCTACCGTAGCACAGCTAAAAGAGATGGTCTGCAGGTCTGCACTCTTATGTTACGCCCCATACATGGGCGATTCTAGCTTCCAGGCATTTTTTGAATGGTAGATCGATGCTCTACTGGAAATAATATTACGCTTATTTATATGATAAACGTGCGTACAGCTACGCATCATTTGACGAGATCCGGGTCGGCTTGTGTGCATCGGCCGGGTCATGGGCCGGACCACAACATTATGTCACGTTACATAACCACCTCCGCCATGCCGCCGCGAGAGCCCTCCTACGCCTTCCCCCCCCCCCCCGGCCCAACCTCGGCCCAGCCCGGCTCGGCCCAGCCCCCGGCACATCACAGCGAAGCGATTCGGGGACTTTGCCGCGAGGGGGAATTCACATTACAACACGCCACTGACTGCGCACTCGTGCCGGCGGGGCTGGGCGATGGCGCTGCCAAGGCCTCAGTGGGACCACGGGTTCGACGACACTCAAAATCAATATTACACTGAGGAATGAACTCGTTCTTTAACTTAAACTATGATCCTTATCGTCGTTGGAACATCCAAAAAGTAATCAGTCATCTGTTTAGCCAATAGTCTCATAGCCCCTAAGAGGTGTGCCACATCCTGCTTTGCAGAGCACGCGTGTACTGTGGTGTGGCTTACCTGAGTCTCGCAGGCGCCAAGCTCTCATAATTTGCCGAATGATCATTTGAATCTGAGAACCACATATGTACTAATTTTAGTCTCTGATCTTTACATCCAGAACACATCATACCATCTTTGTTATACACAGCACTCTTTATAGAACAGGAATGTAAGAAAAGGTTTATCAACTTCCCTAAACGGTGTGAAATAGTTTCTTGTGCTTACTGAAAACTAGAGGTTTTTCCGTTTCATAGACGATTTTATTTTGCTGGAGAGGTATATTTTTTGTTTTGTTTTTTAACTCTATGACCTCCTCTTCACTTGTTTTTTTGCTGCGTTCCCTTCCCTCTCTAAACACCCCTTTCACGCGGTGGGGGTGAAACCACGCGGCCAAATATAGTGACAAGGTTTATATACTAGCGGGCCAACAATAACCCCGCTCACGCGTTGCCACACGCCTGAAAACGTCACTTTGGGATACAATACTATAACAGCAAATTCAAATTATTGGCTGAGCGATTAGCGAAGCCCATTACTCCACTGACCAGAAAAGTTTCATTCTGTTTGTCTGTTTGTTTGTTTGTTTGTTTGTCCGTCTGTACGCACGATAACTCGAGAAAGAATTGAGATATCAATCTAGGAATTTCAGGGTCGTTTTGTATCATAAAAAGACAGATCGAGTTCGAAGATGAGCATTCTAGCTCAAAAATTGG